TCTATTGTTTTTAATATTTTACAGTTAATTCTCACTTGTTCATTCTTAATATTGCCAAGTTTCCATTGCAAACAATTGCACAGTTGTGTTTTAAAGCCTTTATTCCTAATACTGGTTGAACAGCAGGTGTCCTCACTTTAAATCTTCCAAGGTAAAATTGTCAAATACGTTTTAGGGAAGAAAGTGCAGCTACCAGTTATTCAACCTGGTAAAGTCAGTTATTAAACTACCCTGGGTCCCTATCTTCTATAGTCATATTAACCAATGCAGTCTTATAATAAATTATATTTTCTACTTTTCCAGAGATGTTCTGCTGAACCTACTTCTTTAAACAATCGTAGCTCATTTTCTTCTCAGTCATACAGATCACGTCAGTTGAGTGATGAATGCTTTTGGTTAGGGTATGTGTCGAGAGGGAGCTGAAGCAGAGACATAGGGCTTCACATCTGCTAGAATTTCTGGTTAAACCTTGCATTGCAAGGTGTCAAAAAGTATGAAATATTGTTAGATTTATTTGTCATTGAGAACTGAAGGCTTTACTTGGCACTGCGATCTCTGTTATGCTGCAAATCAGGATACACGTCAAAGATCCTTCCATCCATTAGGCTGGAGTCTGTCACAGCTGACTCAGGGTGAAGACAGGGGACACCGTGGACAGGTCACCAGTCTATCACAGGCATCAACAGGGAACCTGTGCAGTCACATGTACAAAATTGCAGCATCCAGTTTGCCTTGATAACACTTCCTAGAGTCACTATCAGTGTAAATGACATTCCCCACAACCCCAAAGACAGAAATCTAAAACATTAAATATCTGTTGTTAAATGCAGTTGCCAGCAGATTGAGTTTGACCGGCTGACACTCTGCAGTTTGACAGCCCGTGGACTTGTTTACACTGGGACGATGTTGTTTCTCTGACCTCCATTAAAAAAACAGAATCTCACCAGAAAAACATGAGCGTACAGATGAAGCACTGGCACTGGAGACATGCAGACTGGGTTTGCTTGTCAATCCACAGTAGCAAAAAGGAACAGTGAAAAAAAAAAAACTCCTACAAACAATGTGTGTATTTCTCTAAGTGCAAATAGTGAACAAGAAGTCAAAAGATTTTGTTTTTTGATGGATGAATTTAAGTGTTTTTATACCAGAGAAACACACAGACAATAAACAACTTTGGCATCTCATGATGTTAATTCATTTAACAGTTAAACTCACCACAAACACTTCAGAGTGTGAGGCTGGTGGTGAACTGCAGCAGCAAACACACACATATACAAATCACTGTGTTAATGTGTTTGCTTTTTAATATTTTAAAAATATGACTTTATGTGAAGAGACTTCTAATTCAGTTATATTGTCAAAAGTGAAATACTCACCACAGAAATGGAGCCACAGCGGAGAGAAAGTGCACGTCTGACAGCAATCTGCAGCAGCAACAAGAGTCACAACCATTTAAAAAACAACACTGGACTCTTTTTATTGTCGATTAATCTGTTGATTGTTTTCTGGGTTAATAGACTAGCTCTTTAGCTTATAAAAGGTCAGAAAATTGCGAAGTGTCAACCAGTGTCAACCTCAAATGTCTTGTTTTGTTCACAATCCAAAGATATTCTGTTTACTATCACAGAAAGTGTTCAAATTTAAAAGGCTGGTATCAGAGAATTTTTAACTTTTTTTTCCCTTAAAACTTACTCAGACCATTTAATCTACTATCAGAATAGCTGGCAATTCATTTTTATAGCTGACAAGTGATCCATTCATCATTGCAGCTCTAATACAACCTCAAATGTCTTTATGCTGATCACAGAAGTTCTTTTGGCACCTGTTACAGCCGCCTCCTTCTCAAATGCATTGAGCACAAACTGTGACTGCGCAGTACATCTTGAGGAAAATAGAATCACTACAGCTACTTGACTGACCCACTTTATCCCAGCATAAGAGCCATGACTCTGTCCAACATGAACCAGACAAATCTATGTACTCTTTCTCTATGTAATGTAGATTACACCATAGTATTACATTTTGCTTCAGAACATGAAACAATTGTTTGAAATCTTGATTACAAGATGCTAAAATAAACCTAACAGATAGACAGTCTCTGTTTTTCAGTGTATGAACCTGGAATCTGTGTATGGAAGAGCTTTGTTTACTGTCAGATCCTTTGTGGAGTTACAGCTCTGCTCTGGTGGGCCATCTGTTACACTTACTTAAGGTTAAGGTTTCTTTATTGGTACCCAAGGGGTACATTTGTTGTGCAGACAAGGCACAGCAATCCAGAAAAAACAGAAAGCAACACAACATTAATTGGTAAGAGGACATTACAATTCAACCAACAGACAGTCAAAATCAGGCCCAGTACATTACAACACATCCATCCATCCATTATCTATACACCGCTTAATTCTCACTAGGGTCACCGGGGGCTGGAGTCTATCCCAGCTGACTCAGGGTGAAGACAGGTTCACCTGGACAGGTAACCAGTCTATCACAGGACTACACTTAGAGACAGACAACCAAGCACACTCACATTCACACCTACGGACAATTTAGAATCACCAATTAACCTCAGCATGTTTCTGGACTGTGGGAGGAAGCCAGAGAACCCGGAGAGAACCCGGAGAGAACCCACGCTGCACAGGGAGAACATGGAAACTCCACAGAGAAAGATCCCGGGTGTCTTAATCGGGACACGAACTGGCGACCTTCTTGCTGCAAGGTGGCGGTGCTAGCCACCGAGCCACCTTGCAGCCTAATTTTATTCAGTAGTGCAATTGCTGCAGGTACAAAACTGTCTCTGTATCGCTTGGTTCGACCCTTTGGGACCATATATCAACAGCCAGAACTGTGAAGCTGGAATTCGTTATGTAAAGGATGCGAACCATCCACAAGAATAGCTTTGGCCTTGTAAAGGTAAAGGTTCGACAGGCTAAGTTGTGATTTACCAATAAGCCTACTGGCCCACTAAGGCTGCTTAGACTTAGACAGGCAGTGCATCATGGTGATGTACCTGAACACATCATAAGAGATGTTTCCTGGCCTCATCTGGTGTGTCAGGTCTTTCAGCAGCACACGCAGTCACCTATGAGATCAAGTCGGGTTAAATCAAGGCCCAGCTTGTAATACATCCACTGTATGTGTCCTGTAATGTGCAACAACACAGTGTCCCTCTGATGCTCCACATTGGGTTCCTCTTCATGACATTAGTTTTAAGGCGTAGAAGCATATGAGGCACAGTTTCCATCTTTCACATTATACCAGCAACACTGTCTGAATAGCTTCAACAACACAGCGTGAGCCATGAGACTGATTGTAAAAGTTCACTGTATTTGATCATCCTCTTCCATGTGAATGAAGTTCTGCTGTGATCATATAAATTAAATGATGAACGGTGAAACAGTTGCTGTGCGTTGAGGTTTAAATGTCAGGTTTGTTTCTGTTTTCAGGACCACCAGAGCTGCACGTTGGAGAAGCGACCTCGGTCCAAACCCCAACCAGCCCAACAGCCCGAGGCCGATCCTGCAGAGGGTCCCGGCAGAGGCCCTCCCCTGCAGCTCCTCCTCAGGCTCCTCAGCCAGGTCTCCTCCAACACTCCTCCTATCTCCCTCTGAGCTCTCCTCCTCCCACTCTTTGTTTATTCCCACCCCTTTTCTCCACTCTTCAACCGCAGTCCATCGCAGAGCAAACACAACATGACAGTTCATACTCACACATATAGAAAATGTTATATAAACGTTATTATAAATACAATGTCCATAGCGTATTTTTACAACTTACATTTGACTGAATCTCACGTGTCTGTGATGTTTTCTTCCGACACTGGGACTCAAAGTCTCATAAGAAACTGTTGGAGGAAACACAGAATAAGCGACACCAGGAGAATCAGCCCCAAGAACAGATGGGGATCAACCGCAAACAGAGAAGAACGAACAGGCCCAGGATGAGGAAGGAGATGTGGAATAATGTCTGTTTGTTTCAGCTGAGTACAAGCAGCTGGCAGAGGACCAGACGGATACCAGACTGAACGCACTTCATTTAAAGATGCCGGGGACGAGTTCACTTCAACTACTCCACTACGATATTTGATCTGATCACTGCAAAGAGAGAGAAAGACTCAAATAAAAGGCCAAAGTACTGCATCTGTTTGTTTAGATATTTGATATCTGCTTTAATATTAGATTTTGGAGAACCATTTATGGCACGATAATTATGTTAACTTAAAAAATATATTTTTAAAACTCAAAACTTGTGTGATAGTTTGGAATAAAGAGATAGATAGATAGATAGATAGATAGATAGATAGATAGATAGATAGATAGATAGATAGATAGATAGATAGATAGATAGATAAAACTTGAATTTAACAGTTTTATCTTTTAAATATAAAGAAAACATTTGTGAAATTGTGCTAAATTTGCATAGGCATTTTAACAGTCTTTTTTTTTCTTTTTTTTTTTAATTGCAACGTCCTCGAGTAGGATAAATATGTCTTTGGACATTATGTACTTGATTATTTTCTTCCTTTACATTTACTATTTTCATTGATTGGTTGACTTTGCAATTTTATTTTATCGTTACCCTTGTTGTAGTCTTTTACCCTTGTCCTAATTTTTTGATTTGAGCATGATTTAAACACTTACTTAGGTAATTAATGAATTTACATTTATTAATTTATTAGATATTTTGTATTCTACTATTTTATTTGGGTCTTTAATGGACTTTTTAAATGCAGTAATGATGCAATAAATGTTCTTTGGATGCTGTCGTCCTTTTTCCTGTTTTTAACTACAGCACGGTTTAAACACCTTTGTATCTATAATTTTTTTTAATTGTTATTATTATTTACTTGTCTTGTCTGTACTTGTTTATGTCTCGTGTTGTGTTTTTTCTGATCATTGGAGGAAACTGCGGCACTGACGCTCCGCCCCCCTCTGCTGTTGCCGAGCAACAGAGGAAGCCTCGGTGTCGCCATCGTCTCCGTCAAAACAGCTTCGCTAACCGAGTTTTACACGTTTTTTTCTCTCTCTCACTCTCACCAAAGCAATGGAGGTGACGATGGACCCTTTGTTTCTGGCGTGGAGCTACTTCAGGAGAAGGAAACTCCAACAGTGTTCAGACATTTGTACAAAGATATTACAGGACAACCCCTACGACCAGGTACAGCCGTGCAGTTAGCAGCGCGCTAGCCTAGCATGCTAGCGATTATTCATTAGGGAAAGCCTGCTAGCTCGCTAACGCAGGAAAGCTGATTAGTCGAGTCCGTGTAGTTTATCATAGCTCACGAATGTTGCTTTTATTGGTGTTTATTTGATTCGTGTCTGTTAGTGACAGCTGGGTATTACGTTTCACACATTTCAGAGCATTCACTGTCAGAATGCTGAACTGCTGATCCAGATATACACTTTTTTATTTAAATTGCTTTAAGTTATTGGATCCTGAAGAAACGCTCTCTCATCTTGCCTGTACTACTGTGTATGTACAGCAAAATGACAATAAACTTGATTTCCTTTCCACTCTGATATTTTTTTCTTTCGTCCAATTTCTTCTCATTTGTTCTCAACTTTATTCTCCTTTCACTAACTCACTGCGTACTGTCTTAAGGATTCGTCCTTGCTTATCTCAGAGGTAACCATGACTTCACACTGCTCCTGTCCTCCGTACTATTTACATCCTTTTTCATGCCCGTAGCTCCACTTAGGTCCTGACTGTACTGTGTTTACCTCTGATCATATCTGAGACCTTTCATATGACTTCGACATTGTGTGTTACAGGCTGCCTGGAGCCTGAAAACCTGCGCCATAACAGAGATGGTCTACATAGATGAAGTTGAGGTTGACCAGGAGGGGATTGCTGAGATGATGCTGGATGAGAGCTCCATTGCTCAAGTTGCACGTAAGTTTCAAGTCTCTCACAGTTTCCTCCATCCATCCATCCATCCATCTATTCATCCATTATCTATACTCTGCTTAATCTTAACTGGGTCACGGGGGAGCTGGAGTCTATCCCAGTTGACTTAGGGTGAAAGCAGGGGACACATGGACAGGTAACCAGTCTATCACAGGGCTACACGTAGAGACAGACAACCAAGCACACTCACATTCACACCTACGGACAATTTAGAATCACCAATTAACTTCAACATGTTTCTGGACTGTGGGAGGAAGCAAACTCCACACAGAAAGATCCCGGTTGTCCTCACCGGGATGGGAACCAGCGACCTTCTAGCTGCGATCTATTGGTGCTAACCACCGAGCCACCTTGCAGCCCCTCACGGTGTCCTAATGTGTAATAATTTAATACTTGAAGTATTTACTCAATTGTTCATGTTTTTTAGTAACAAAACTATCTTTCAGGACCTGGAACCTCATTGAGACTTCCTGGAACGAGTCAGGGTGGAGGTCCCACTCCAGCTGTCAGGTATCTTGTCCCAGACAACCAAACCAAATAATACCAGAAGTTTAACCACTGATGATATTTTCAGAATAACAAAGCAATTTATTTCTAAAATGCAGACCTATGACACAGTCAGGACGTCCTATCACAGGATTCGTGAGACCCAGCACACAGTCAGGGCGTCCTGGGACGATGGAACAGGCCATCAAAACACCACGCACCGCAAGCACTGCTCGCCCAGTTACCAGTGCTTCTGGTAGATTCATCCGTTTGGGAACCGTGAGTATTCATACTATAATAAAAGCTGCATGTTCAGTTCTGCAAAAGGCTCTTGGATGAGAAGTGAGATGTCTTCAAGAATCAAAATGAAGCTCTTAGGACATGTTTCCTACCATACAGAACAGATATCCATCAGCCTATTTGTATAGTATTCCACTGTACATACTATTGTTGTAAGATTGATGACATATAGACATGTATTATTTGTTATATGTACTGTTAAACCCTGAAAGCCTGAAATGTTTTGCTTCACTGTTTCTACAGGCTTCAATGTTAACCAATCCGGAGGGACCTTTCATAAACTTATCAAGACTAAATCTGGCCAAGTACTCCCAAAAGCCCAGTTTATCCAGGGTAAGACTGAGAGTGTAATGTTCAAAAAGATTATCAGCTAATGTTTGTTTTTTTGTCTTTACATGTGAAGTCATCACTATTTTCCTCCACAGACACTATTTGAGTACATCTTCCATCATGAAAACGATGTGAAAAATGTAAGTGCTGCAAACATCTGCGTCGTAAAAATAACACTTTGCATTTTGTTGCAAGACTCTTAGCTATTATTTATATCCTACAAATAAAATGTTTCTCGTACAGGCTTTAGATTTGGCTGCTCAAGCTACTGAACATGCACAGTTCAAAGACTGGTGGTGGAAAGTTCAGCTGGGGAAGTGTTATTACAGGCAAGTAACGCAAAAGCATTTCAACTGTTCAAGGTCAACATTTCTTTATTGAAGCAACATTTTATGTGCATGAAATTATGTAATTATGAATTTCTCTGACCTCTGCAGGCTTGGTTTATATAGAGAAGCAGAAAAACAATTTCGCTCGGCTCTCAACCACCAAGAGGTGGTAGATACGTATCTGTACCTTGCAAAGGTAGTGATCAGTACATCACATGACCAAGCTGCTGCACAATCAAAGAAACTCTCCCTGAAGCCACATTTGGCAATAAATGGCAAATCTTGTTTTCCAATAGGTTTATCAGCGCCTGGATCAGCCAGTCACGGCTCTCAACCTCTTCAAGCAAGGCCTGGACCACTTCCCTGGTGAGGTCACCCTTCTGACAGGAATCGCTCGCATCCATGAGGTACAGTCGAGTCCACTCAGTTCACTCTCATGGTATGACTGACAAAATGTAGCTTTATTTATCGTTTAATGTGATGTTGTCACAGGAGATGAACAACATTTTATCAGCCACAGAGTACTACAAAGATGTCCTGAAGCAGGACAACACTCACGTGGAGGCTATAGCCTGCATAGGCAGCAATCACTTCTACACCGATCAGCCCGAGATCGCCCTGCGGTTCTATAGGTCAGACAAAGTTTTCTGTACAGTTAATGTAATGTATTGTTACAGTTCACGAGATTTATATTCCATCTGTGACTCAATATGTTTATCCTTTTGCTAGACGACTGCTCCAGATGGGAGTGTATAATTGCCAGCTGTACAACAACCTGGGTCTGTGCTGTTTCTACGCCCAGCAGTACGATATGACTCTGTCCTCATTTGAGAGGGCTCTGGCCCTGGTGGCCAGTGATGAGGAGCAGGCTGATGTCTGGTACAACATAGGACATGTGGCTGTGGTGAGTTAACAAACTCTGTAGAGTAGACGGTTTGTTCCCCTCACTTCTGTATGTGGTTTGCAGTTAAGATGAACTCAGTATTGATCGAGTGCACATCATACAAATAGAGATATTTTACAAAGCATGTGTCCTTTACATTTGCAGGGCATAGGGGACTTGACGCTGGCCTATCAGTCTTTTAAACTGACGTTGGCTTTTAATAACGACCACGCTGAGGCCTACAACAACCTGGCTGTGCTGGAGCTGCGCAAAGGTCACATCGAACAGGTGAAGACATATTTTTAAGTCATATCTTTTATCAAGCTGTTACAATATGAGGTGTGAGATCATAATGGTGACTCTACTATATGATGTAACACTCGCTATTAGAAGGTTATTAAAGTCTAATTATTATTAATGTCATACAAACCTTAACACAGCCTGTATTATCAAAAGACATTTCTCAAATACCCCAGTTACAGTATTGATTTTTTTTAAGTGTTGCTACACAATATTACTCATTTGAAGGTTACACTCCTACACCATTAATCCAACGAGCTATAACCTCCCAATTACACCAACTAAGAGCTCAGCGAGAAATCAATTTAGCATTAATTTGATATGAGACAAGACATCATGAGATGCATTAGACTGTGGTGCCGTGTGGAGGGTTAGGGTTGGAAGAACCTTGCATGAAGCGACAGTGGGGCTTGAAAGTTTGTGAACACATTTCTAAATAAACATGACCTAAAATATCAGAGTTTCATCCAAGCCCTGAAACCTTTTCCGCCATGATGAGGAATCAGCTCTTTTTCTTAGATCCTCAGACATCTCCCTTGTTTGTGCAACGATGCTCCTCCACAAACATGTGTCATGAAGATCAGAGGAGGTGCACTCACACCTGATCGTCATCCCACTGACGGAAAATGCCTTCCTCCAATTTTACCTGCAAATGAACTGTTAATAGTTTTACCACTCAGACATGTAATATTGGATTATTTCCTCAATGAAAAAATGACATGAAAAACAAATCGGATGACGTTTTAGCTCATATTTATGCTCGAATGGAAAACACTGTGTTATAATTAATTACTTTTCAAGCTATCATGTGTTCTGAATCTGTATTTTTCCACTGAGCCTATGATTCTGTTTTGTACTTTTCTACTGAGCACGATATACGTCCTTGAAGATAACATGGCCGGTGAGAACTGGTTCACACCCCGGGAGACAGCGGAAACTCCCCTATTCGATCAGTTACTTTAGATACACAACTTTTGGACAACACACACACACACTTTGTATTCGATCCAAGCAGTTTCTGTTTACATTTCAGTGAACTTTCCCGTGAGCAGTGGTTAGCCTGTTCACGTCACAGTGACTGGCCAGTTAACCTCGGTAGCGTATAAGTCTAATCTCTGTTCGGGGCAGCCCAAGGAGATATATGTAACCAGAACCCGGAAAAACTCAGTTCAGCTGGACATGTTATTACTTTCTGTCTGTCTGAGTCCAGCGCTGCCTCACTTTACCTGTGACCTAAAATAAGTTCTACATGTGAGAACTGAAGATTTCTCCGGTTTGTTCTTGGGCTTCCCACTAAAGAATCGGGTTAAACAACTGTAAAGGTTTCGCAAACTTTCATGCACCACTGTACGTGAAAGCCATTAGCTGCTTTAGCTTCTACTGCTGTGTTAACACAAGTTCCAAAAAAAGGAAAAAGAAGACCGATGTTTTTTCAGCAGCACTGTTTTGTGTGGACTGCAGTGGAGGTTTTGTCTGTCAAACCAAGTCAGAGCAATGTTAGCAAAAGTGTGATAGCAGAGGTGCTAGTTCTGTCCTGTGATGTGGGGATAAAGGCACTACTCGGGTTAAAAATTAAAAAATCTTTTTCAAAATCAACTAAAATGTCCTCTCATACTCTGTCTGTGATCCAGTCTAAAGCCTTTCTGCAAACTGCCGCATCGCTGGCCCCTCACATGTATGAGCCGCACTTCAATCTCTCCATTCTCTCTGAAAAGGTAATTTATCACTTTTTAATCCACCTGAACCTTTAAGCATTAAGCAAACCAGCTAAAGGTATAACATCTATGACACAGTTTGCCAAAGTGACTTTCCTTGTCTGCGTCCAGATTGGAGACCTCCAGAGCAGCTACACCGCGGCCCAGAAGGCCGAAGACGCCTTCCCAGAGCACGTCGACACTCAGCAGCTTCTCAGGCAGCTGCGGCAGCACTTTACGGTGCTGTGAGGGTCCAGAGGGTGTTCATCAGGCTTCCAGAGTTATTGTGACAGTGGAAGGCTGGAGGGTTAGTCGGATATAGAATTCAACAAGCAGGGTTTGTGTTTTTTATTTATTAAATGGTAGAGTTACACTAAACTGCCAGTTTATAAGGTGTTATATTCCATTGAACGCAGTCTGGATGTGATGGGTCATCCTCCATTGACCCCTGCTGTAGACAGGATCGCTGGTCACTGGTGGTTCTTTGCTTTTCGCACCTCTCGCTGTAAAACTCCAGAACAGTCGGGTGTGAAAAAGCCAAGACGACAGCAGTTCTGGGAACGGCTCGAACCAAAGCGCCTCGATACCAAATTCAAGTAAACATGTAACGGTGACTTAAAAATGTACATGAAGGTGGAGATTTTACTGATAAACTGGCAACCCAGTGTACAGATTTGTACAGGAACACATATGTACATAGTAAAGGTGAAGATTTAGTAAAATAATTCACATACATTTTCTAGTTTATTTCATAAATCAGATGTATTTTTCGTATTTCAGATTTTCTTGCCATTTTGTAGTCTGGACAGTACAATAAAGAGAAAAAAAAAAACATTCACAAGATGTGTTCGAGTCTCATTTCTGATTACATTAAAGCGCAGACCTGGGTGGCATTTCACAAATCCATTTCAGGTTGTAACTGCATGGAGCATCATTCCAAGCTCTGAAGGGGTTGCTCCTGGGATACATAGCTGCACAGTCTTCATTGTTCTGGTTGTTGGGTTCTCCTTCATTCCAGAACCTGAAACAAACAGTCGGTGACTTGGCTGATCGATGGCCACAACTGTGAGTATAGTGTTTGAATGTGTTGTCACAGTGGTTTTACAACACTGACACATCCTAAAATCCCCAGTGAGGGGTTTTATACAAACTGTGTTACCCCTCAGCGAGCCTTGTCCCGTCCAGCCATTTCCAAGTCCCTTCTTCCTCTACGTCTCTCAGTCCGATCCAGTAGCCACTCTGGGAAATGGCTCTTGAGGAGTCATGGTAATTATTTATCAGTTCTTCTAATGCCAGCTGACAACACAGGAAACACACACACACACATATATATGTATGTTAACTTCTTTTTTGAGGGGATCATTGCAACACAAACATCTTTCACCGTTTAGAAATTAAATGTAAAGTGTTGTGAGGACACCCGGGATCTTTCTATGTGGAGTCTCCATGTTCTCCCCGTGCAGCGTGGGTTCTCTCCGGGTTCTCCGGCTTCCTCCCACAGTCCAAAAACATATTAAGGTTAATTGGTGATTCTAAATTGTCCGTAGGTGTGAATGTGAGTGTGCTTGGTTGTCTGTCTCTAAGTGTAGCCCTGTGATAGACTGGTTACCTGTCCAGGTGAACCTGCTTTCACCCTGAGTCAGCTGGGATAGATTGAAAAAGCTGGATGTTCATATGCAGATTTTTTTTTTTGTCATACACCCTCCCACACCTCATCTCTGCCATCCCGGTATATTAAGATGAAAATGCAACAGAATGGCTCCAAAACTCAGTGTAAGATCACCACTGATGATTTCTTATCATGTATATGTATAACTGGTTGATGTTGTCTTCCTATGTCTTCCAGGCAGGATCAATAGACTCCAGCCCCCCATGACCCTAGTGAGGATTAAGCGGTGTATAGATAATGGATGGATGAATGCTGTTAATCAAAACGATAAGAATATAATAGCAGATTTGGCCCAGAAACATCCTTGAGTTGTCGAAATGTCGACTCTTACGTGCTTCTCTCTGCTGTCTGTCACTACCAAGTCACCTCCTCGCTTCTTGCAGAACTGTCTGGCATCCATCCACGTTTTGCGTGAAGTACTGTCGGAGAAGGTCAAGTAGTAACACATCGAGTTCAGGAACGTCCATCCTGGTAAACAGTGTTTGCAGCCCTCCTCTGTTGCCAAAGAAAAAAATAAGAGTGAAGGAAACATGACGCGCTGTCGGTCGGGTCACAATAATTATGTATTTAATAATATAACACAAGTAAATGAAAGGCTCTTACTAAGCATGGGCATGTGGGATTTCAACACGGCTATGTCCACTTGAATTTTGGCAACCTGCTTTTCGTAGTCTTTGTTTCTTCTGCTCTGGTGTTCGAGCTCCCACTTGGTAATTTGGTGCTCACTGACCTCTTTTGCGAGTTCTCTCTTGGCCTCATCCCTGCTTTGAATTGCAGAGTTGTAAGTCGCCTGCAGTTTGGCAATCTCACCGCTGATGTCCGTCACTATCTGGTTCCCATCAGTGAGTTTGTGATCTGTAAGACACAGTTTGACCTGAGGATTGTAGTCTCAGCTGCAGTTTTTACAAGCGCTATCAAGACTTACTTCACACCGTTTACAGACAGTGAAAATATGAAATATACACAAATGCAATATACAGGAACTGCAGTAACCTGATATCAGTAGATATCATTTTCTAGCTATACTAATATTGGTGCAAAAGTATATTTATCACTTTCATAGACACCTTTACCAATTATCTTAAAGTTGACCTGGTAAACTTGTTACTAGCAGATGTGGAAACCATTAGCATTTATTGTATTGGTTTCCATCAACTACTGATGGACATATCTGGCTCCTCAGCTACTAATTCTATTCAATTCAATTCTATTCACAAGCGAGTGTTGGACAGGTGGTATGCAGGGTATTTAGTGAAATCAAGTGAAAGTACCAATGCAGCAATGTCAGAATATTCTATTAGAAATCCAAGTTCTGTATGAAAACTCCCATCTAAGTAGAAGTACACAAGTATCAGCAGTAAAATGCTGTTATGTGTTAAAGTGAAAGTGCTGGTTTGGTTCTTCTGACTGATATATTATTATATATGACATTAGTAGAATATTAATACTGAAGCATCAGCAGCTGCAGAGGAAGCTAATTTGAACTACTTTATATACAGTTTTATTATGTACAGGGATAGAAGATAAATCTGAGGCTCACAAATGATTAGAGAGGAAAGACTAAGAAAAGTTCTGATACACAAATCTGTTTTTAGTTTTTGGACTTTCTCTCTAACTTTTGATTTTTGGATCACTTGGACGTGAAAATGTGAAAATGTTTAGAGGGAATAATCACTGATTATCTGAGGTGTTAAAAACTCATAGATACCTGAAATTTAAACCCAATTTTACATTTTTTTTTGTAAGACGGAAGCCAAAACGTTTGGAAACCACTGGTTGTTTTCTATCAGCTTGTTAAACGATCCATTGTGTAAAATCTTTTTCTTACAAGTAACTAAAGCTGTTAGATAAATGTAGCAGAGTAGAAAGTATAATTCTGAATTATAGTAAAGTGCAAGTATAAAGCAACATATAATGTAAAAAAAAAACTTAAGTACATGTACCTCAAATTTGTTCTTAAATGAAATACTTGAGTAAATGTATTTAGTTACTTTCCACCACTAGAAAACAGCTCCCTGCCGTATTTATAGCATCTCTGTTAATCTCAACTTTTGTTACTTCAAAGTTAAAGTTCAGCCAAGTTTTATTATTCTGAATCGTGAATGTGATGCCACCTCATCTATCTTAGTCCACAATATTATAAAACTAAGATCGTTTCGTGGTTTGACAGTGACTTACAGTAGACTCCCAGGCCGATATCGACTGCTAGCAGAACGACCGCGAGCACCGCCAGGCTCACTGCAAGCACTTTGTAGTGATTCAGACCGTATTCAGGTCTCACTGTGGACATGGAGACTTCACAGACAAGTGATGGATCAATACCAAAGCAATACACAACACTGTCATGACATCAACAAAATGATCTACAGTGCACATGAGCCACCAAGTTAAAGAAAAATCTGGATGAATAATTCTTTTAATATCTTCCAAAGACACTTTTTATTGGTTTTTACTTTAATGAGTCAACCATTGGTATTTTAAAAACTTCTAGCAAAGCGAGGAGCCATATTAGGAATGGTATTGGACATCAACACAATGCTGCTTGACAACGTATGAAACTAAACAAGACCCTTCATCAGCTTTACCTTGTTGCTTCCCTCGGTTCGGGTAGAGCGGGTGCTCATCTGCACTCAGGTCCTTGGGAGAAGCCAGTTTGTTGTATGTGGCTTCAAACGTGTCCCCGGAATGTTCTCTGCCCTCCATTTTGACAGTTAAACCGAGAGCCGCCTGACGCGATTGTCCAGCAGGGAGTATTTGTTAGGACATTGCCCTGTGCGTGTTTGCTTGGAGGCATACCATCACAAACAGAAAAATCAAGTTCAGCTGTTAAAGATTTACTGGCGGTGCAGGTCAGCTGCAGAGCGGTGTCCTTCTGTGATCACCCCAACACGACCATCTGTAATTTATTCAACGATCAAGCAACGATTTTGTGGGGGGAAGCTTTTTATTTCATGGAATCAAGTATGATGTAGCTTGAAATCATTACATTTTTTCCATGTATAGAAAACGTTATTGAGACGGTACCAATGTGCGACAATTCTTCACTGTTTCCTATTGTTGTGCTGCAGATGTGGAGAGTTCTTTTGTATTTTTTTTCCAGTTTCACATCTAAAATAGCTGTTTTTATCTTTAAAAAAAATATCAGCGTGCACATATTTGTTGTTATTTCACACATATTTTAAAAAATCACATCACACATAACACAAATTATAAGCTGTAGCTCATTCGTTTGGAAGACTACGCGAAATCCTGATTATTTTTCATTATCATCATCATATCACACGTGCTTTCATCTCACAGATGAAGCTCAGCGGATGTTGGCAGTTAGCATTATACCACGACTTCATACTATCGTGGTAGTAATAAATAGCAGCACAGTTCCCGCTCTGAGGTTCTCCGTGGCTCGGCTGTCCGTTTCTCCAGTACCTTCAATCAAAAGCCATTCAGAGAAGAATTAGTTTTTAGCTACATTTTTTAGCCATGACGGTATTGTTGTTGTGAGACTGTGTCAACAGTCAGCGCTTACATCGTCTCCGCCTCGGTCACGTTGTTAATCCAAACCCAGGTTCCCTCCGACACCAGGTCGGTGAGGCCCATCCAGTATCCGTTCTCCCACCATATGTTGCTGCTGCTCTTCCTCACAAAGTTCTCACTCATGAGTTGCTGTAAGATAGCAGACAGAGAAGTCGATACCTGAATTCTGTATTGGCATTTACAGCATACTGTATGATCAAATAAAAGCTCAGCCTGTTTGTTGAGTGATGGACACAAAAATCTGCCCCCTAAAGTTAGTTTTCACATGATTTATGTTTTCGCTGTCAGAGAGGTGGGGTCATTTTCCCCTGTTTCCAGCTTAAAGTCAGTTCAGTCTAATGAACTACACCATGCAGTCCTGATCAGTGAAGCAGCTGAGTTCTTGAGAGTAAAACTCTGTGTGTGAACCAAAACAACAAAGTCACAAAATACAGCAAAGTGAGCTGAACCCTGCTGTATAACTCTATGAGGTCAAGGCGAGCTGCAGATTCGTGTGATGTTTGTCGATACGTGGTTATTTAAAGAATGTAGATTATCGCCACTTTAATCTAACTGGCAAATACTTGAGATTTAAAAACAGGTTTCCAGGGGCTTTCAAGGAAAACTGTAAAGGAATGCTTGTTGTCCGACATATGCAAGATGTAACTCGTCATTTGAGTTAAAATCAGTGCTGCTGGTATTCAACCTGAGAAAAATGGCTGAATTTAAAGCACCTCTCCAATCAGTGATTTCACCCCTAAGAACATTCTTATAAGGTTTTCCAATGAAAATGATCCTTTTCTGCCGAAACATGCCTGAGAAGTAACTGTACACTGTTGATTTCTCTGGAATGTGCAGATCTATGATGTTTCCGCCCCTCGCCCCACCAAACACCTCCCAGCTCGAGCACACCAGCTCACCTACAGCTCCGTTCAAACACTGTAAAACTACTCCATGCTATGTCTGTGGGGGTTCTTGATCTCCAGGTTATGGATATTCTTGTAGATTAATCGTAGCAACTGGACTTGCTTGAGTTCCTTGAAGACGTTCCACCTTCGTCCAAGAGGCTTCATCAGTTCTGACTAGTTGGGAGTTCCAGATACTTATATCCTAAAGGAGCTTGAGTTTTGGAGTGCCAGCTCTTCAGGACAGGACTCAGCAGTCCACCTGCATCTTAAGGACAAAGGACACTCATTTGAGAACAACAGTGTACAGATTTTGGCCTGCAGGGAGGGCAGATGGTTTGAGAGACGGGTGAAAGAAGCCATCTATGTCCAACTGGAAAGACCATCCCTCAACAGAGGTGGAGGTCTGAGGCATCACCTCTCACCTGTTTACAGTTCAGTCCTAAGAACTCTCCCCAGGAAGATGAAACCACATCTACACCTCGCCACAAAAGACCCTAACGAACCCCATTGTGACAGGGGGAGCACTAATGACTCGCATAACGAGGGGGAGGAGCAACAAACCTCCAATTGAAACTCAGCTGTTCATGGCTCCTTAAGGATATAAGTATGTGGAACTCCCAACTAGTCAGTCAGAACTGATGAAGCCTCTTGGATGAAGGTGGAACGTCTTCAAGGAACTCAAGCAGGTCCAGTTGCTCCGATTAAACAACGAGAACTCTCCATGCTACTCCCTGGAGAGTTGTACTACTGCAGTAACTCAGCCATATATGTTCGACCCAGAGGAAGAAGAATCCATGTTTTTGAGATTGACATCGATACGCTGCAGTTTTAGTGCAGTAATGCTCAGCCGTGGTGCTGACTGCTATTTTTGCTCATGAAGTATTTTCAAGAATATAAAATAAAACCATACGCATATTTGAACAAGGTAAAAACAAGGACATAACGTTCTAATCACGGCATTGTTCCTTAAATGAACTCATTTTACTGAATGCATTTTTAACTAAGATACATTTATTGTTAAAGATAACGTTACACTTGAGAAATAGAACCATAAATAGAACTTTATCGTATTTTAAAATCAAATGTAGAGACATCCAAAGAAATCAGAGTATTTCCTAATCAAGGAAAACCAGAGGGGATACAGTTACCCCAAAACAAAAAAGTTCGGAGACTAAAACATTCTTTTCATTTGAGCTTCTGACCAACCTGTTCCTCCAAATTATTGATCACAAGCAGGTCGCCGCCTTGACGAATACAGTCTGCTCTGCTGTCCGACCAGTTCTTCTGGGCAGCCACTTCATGGTGAGCAAAACGATAACAGGACGATTTCAGTAACATCCACTCTGGTGGGCATCTGCTGCAGCTTTCCTCTGTTGCAGTAACAGATTACAAAGGGTTTTGTTATTTACTGAAAAGGTTCACAGCATACGTCTCCATGTTGGAGAAGGTTGCCACCAAAGATAAACAGGTTGGAGCTTCGTCTTACCCAAAGTTGTTTTGTTAGTCTGGAGGTTTGTCTTCTCTTTGTGTAGCCCCTCGATTTTTGCCTGAATGCTGTCAGTGAGGGTCTTCCTCTGCTTCAGTTCCAGCCTCAGCTGCTGATGGCTGGCGCGCTCTCTCTGCAGCGCCAGCCGGGCCTCCACTTTAGCTCTGGTTATACCGCTGTGGTTGCGGAGGAAGTTCCACTCCAGGACGAGGGGCACAGCAGCCGAATGAGGAACCTCAAAGTCTTTGGCTTTGGCACCTGAGGCACAAAAAACAAGGCAGCGTAAGAGGAGGTGTGGCAAAACTGGTGTGTGTAGTTAAGATTTTAAGTTTCATTTGCAGCATGTCGGTCTGGACGGGTCACCTCAAAGTTTGATCAGACATTTATTGTCCCAAAAGAATCAATCCAACTTATTCTGATGATCCTTTGACTTCTCCTTTAACTTGACCTCAAAGTTATCACTTATCCAGTAAAATATCTACCCATCAATTTAAAATATAGACACACAAAATCTTATAGTTGTTAGAAGCTGTTTTAATTTGTATAATAAATCAGTTTGTTGCTTGCAAAACCAGTGACCGTCCCACTATCCTACAAAGTACGGCTGAGGATAACGCTAAGCAGCTCCATGCAAACATCTGCTGCGCAACTTCCAATGAGAACTACAACAAGGCTTAAACAGTCATATCGACTGGTTTCAGTCTTTTGAAGGTGAGCGTCTCTGTGTCTTACACGAAGCCTGAATATCTTTGGTTTCAGACCTCTATGGTGCTTCTTTGGGAATTTGGGATGATATTTTATTTCCTAACTTCTGTGACATTTTACAAACCGAAACATTCAGCAAATATTTCCAATAATATTTCAAAATTCTAACACTTAATAAATGATTACTGACTGCCAAACTTTCATAATGCATTGGAAAAGGGTTCAAGTCTCGTTGCAAGTATCAGTTTGTATGTAAGTCCTTAATTTGATAGTAAGACAAAGATCTCTTCCAGTTAACCAGTACAGGATATGCACATGTGAAAATGGCAATAAGGACTGCAATCATTTCTAAAGTTGGAAAAGCAAACTTTTATATCCATATTTTGAACTATGGTCGTTGATTTAACCACTAAAACCCATTTCTGTGTTTCAAAGTTACAGATTTTTGCATTTTTTTTCCATTAAATAATCCCTTCCTACATGTTGCGTCTTCTTTTTTTTTTTTTAATATATATTTTTGGGCTTTTGCCTTTATGTAGAGCAGTGGAGCGAGACAGGAAAGGGGGGAGAAGAGTGAGGGAGAGACCTGCAGCAAAGGGTTGTGAGCGGGATTCGAACTCACAACCGCTGCGTCGGGGACTGTAGCCCCTGTTCATGGGTCGCCCGCTCAACCAGGTGAGCTATACAGGCGCCCGCCACATGTTGCGTCTTCTGCAGCGTCTTCTGCAGCATGTAGATCTGCAAAGTCCCAGCATCTCTCACCAGCTCACCAATGACTCAGCTCAAACACTGTAGAACTACTCTGCACCACACAATGGCAAGCTTTAATATCGGAGTATATATATTTGAATTGGAAACTGATTCTGTAAAGGAATGATACGGAAAGCCCTGCAAGTTTACGAGATTGCTTAGTTAGGTTTGTTGTTTTTGAGACCATCATAAGCTCTGAACTTATTTATCTCATAATATGTATTCTAGTGTATAAAAAGCACCATGTGGACCTGTTAGCAAGGTTAAAAAAAATAGATTTTTACTAGTGGGGGGTCTTTAATTCAGTCATGTGTTTCAAATCCTCTAGAACACAAGCTATCCTTCATGGTAAGGAACTCTGTACTTTCTGGTGAATTCTCATACTCACAGTAAATCCCAGTGACAACAGCAGCTATCAGCAGAACAGCGTTCAGCAGGCCAAGACTCAATATCACCAGTCGGTAGTGTGGAAATACAAATCGAAATCTGCCTGCAAACAGACCTTGAAAATGTTCCTCTTGGTCAGTATCTTAATAGTCAACTTTCATTGCTGTCAAAATATAATAAAAGCATTATCATGGTGGTTTTTGACCTACTTTTAGGAATCACTGAAGATTAGTTTAACACGCCACAGTTTTAAGCATAACCACAGACACTGTAAGAATATTTTACACGTATTTAAACGCTGAGTCACAGAACGAGCTAAACACACACAGGCTCAGTTTCTGTGGTGGTGTCAAACTTTGACATGGTTAAAACACTGCAGAAAACTAGATGGGTAAGTAAGCTGTACCTTGTCCAAATGTTTGATGGTGGAAGAATGAAGGTCCATCGCTGCTGAAACCTTGAAAAGTTTTATGATCGAATGACATCTCCTCCTCAGATTCTGACTGCGGCCGCGAGTTCTCCATTAAAGCGGTGCGAGTAGAGCTTATTGATCTGTTTGTCTCTCCTGCTTATATCAGTGGCAACAGGTGTGTGTGTGTGTGTGTGTGTGTGTGTGTGTGTGTGTGTGTGTGTGCGTGTGTGTGCTGTTATAACCAATGCTGTGGGGACCCAAGTCTCTCTATACAGTCACATTATTGGGACTTGTGAGGGGTGAGCTGAGGACATGTTTTAGGGTCAGGGTGAGGTTCGGTTCAGGTTCAGGTAAGAAGGTAAGTAGTAGTGATGGTTAGGTGGGAGCGTGTGTGTGTGTGTGTGTGTGTTTGGACTCTGGTCAAGACGTAATGCGATGTTATGAGTGTGGATTTTAGTTGGTAATATATAAATCATACAGATGCATGTTAAATAGTGTCAAAGTCTGGGATAAGACGACTAGTATTAGTGGTAATCTGGCTCATTCAGATATTAGCATTCTGTACATACCAATGCTGTGACTGACACTTTGCATACAGCTCTATTTGCAAACTGCTGAATCAGTACATTTCTCTATTTCGTCCAAAATAAACTTGCATGTTCACAAATGACTTGCTGATTATGAAACACAAAATTCATAACAGAGATAGACCGGTGCAGATTTTACTTCTGCAAATACACTCTCCCATGTATGACAATTTCTTGCTGACTTTTCACAACTGGCTGCAAAACTTTCCAAACAGTAGTTTGCCATTTTTGGGAATGTACACTTCGGTTAGCTTAGCTCTGCATGCCAGAAGTATCCCAGCTCTGTCCGATGGGAACAAAATCCACCTTTTCAAAGTTATTTTTTTTGGCCTTTGTGCCTTTTTTGGATAGTTTTAGTGAGAGAGAGACAGGAAAGTAGGGGAGAAGAATGGGGGGAGGACATGTGGGAATGGGTCATGAGCGGGAATCGAACTCATGACCTCCACATTGGGACTGTAGCCCTGCACATGGGACGCCAGCTCAACCAGGTGAGCTATAGCGGCGCCCCACAAAATCCACCTTCTAACACCTCTGATGCTCACCACGAGCATGTTGTATCTCATTTTAAACTACACATTATGGAAAAAATAAGATGTGCATATAATCCCTATAACACCATAGCATATTGTTGTTACACTTTAGATTGGATTAAAGAGGATTAAGAGTTGCAAAATGAGAGGTTATCAAACACTTACAAGAAACATCGAACCCAGAATCAGTTTATTAAAAGCGGTCTCATCAAAACTAGGCAAACTGTAAGTAATTACAAGTTTAAAAAGCATTCCTAAATCATTTTTAATAACAAACAAAGCATTTGTAAGCACATACAAGTCTTTATTGCATAATGTATGTATTTTTCCACAACTGAAAACTCCCTCTATGGATACAGACTCTATGTTAATAATGTAAAAGTTTGCATGTTCTCCCCGTGCAGCGTGGATGCTGGATGGAGGGCAGCTGGATGATTTCGTGGGAGCCTGGGTGTGTGGAGCACTTGTCTGGTCAGGAAATTGAGCCTGAGAAACAAAAAAAGACAACCATACTTCACAATTTGCCCAGTTTAGTTAACAAAGATTGAACATTTGTAGTTCATAGCTGTCAGTACAGTAAGAGCAGCTACTAACGATGACCATCCATCCATCCATTATCTATACACCGCTTAATCCTCACTAGGGTCGCGGAGGGCTGGAGCCTGAACGATGACTACTTACTGTTAAATCCTTTTCAATCCTGTCAACAACACTTTAACAAAGTGTGAAATTACCCCTTTCTAACTTTATAAAAAATATTCTTCACAAATGCCAGTGTTGGGGCTGCAGGGTGGGGCGGAGGTTAGCATCGTCGCCTCGCAGCAAGAAGGTCGCCGGTTCGCATCCCGGTGAGGACACCCGGGGTCTTTCTGCTTGGGGTCTCCATATTCTCTCCGTGCAGCGTGGGTTCTCTCCGGGTTCTCCGGCTTCCTCCCACAGTCCAAAAACATGTTGAGGTTAATTGGTGATTCTAAATTGTCCGTAGGTGTGAATGTGAGTGTGCTTGGTTGTCTGTCTCTAAGTGTAGCCCTGTGATAGACTGGTTACCTGTCCAGGTGAACCTGCCTTCACCCTGAGTCAGCTGGGATAGACTCCAGCGCCCCACGACCCTAGTGAGGATTAAGCGTTGTATAGATAATGGATGGATGGATGGACTGTATGTCTTTGTGTAACAAGCTATATGTATATTAGCACTATGTTTTAGTAATGTCCTGTAGATAAACAGTGTCTAAGCAATTAAAAATGTCTTTACATAACTATATATATATATTATATATAAATAAAGCAAAGTTACCTGGGGTTTAAATAACTAACAATGTATTAAATTGTGCTTTCAGAAATTTCCATGATACTAACATGGACACACGTACAATAAGTATAATTGTGTGTTTCCTTGAAGAAGTTCTCAGCTCATAGAAGTTGGTGCTTTTTCACAAATCCATCTCTGTTGTTTTCGACAGCTTAAGTCATTCCAAGCTTTAAAGAAGTTTTCTGCAGCAAGGACTGTGGCACAATCCTCATTGCCCGAATCGTTTGGTTCTCCGTCATTCCAATACCTGGAAAAAACAATATGTTACTGTAGAGAGACACAGTGTTTGCTTTCTCTCAGACCACTTTAAGTATCCTTTTCTTTTCCATGTAAGTGCCAAAAGATAATATTAGATCTGCCACATTTACATCACTGGGTAAAATGCTTTAAAGAGAGCCCTCAATTTAATTATATGTATCCCAGGACAGTCGTCCTTTAGACTGAGGAATGCATTTACATAACTGCCAGGCAGGGAGTCGTGGCTGTTCATGTAATTTTTGTACAAGGAGCAACTTCAAAGCACAGCAGGTCCTGTGTTTAGCAAACTTTTTGTTAATGTTGGTGGTTCTAGTATAGTTATGGGAAAATGCAAACAGTTCCTTCTTGCTCCATTGCAAGTGATGCTAATTTTCTACACATACAACTGCAGACCATTTTGAATCTCACCCTTCAACAAGCACCGTTCCATCCAACCATTTCCAAGTTCCTTCCTCGTGAAAATCTCTCAGTCCCATCCAGTAGCCCAAATTTTGTTGTGAGGAGTCATGATGATTTATCATGTAATTTACAGTTGAGTTCTACAACAAATGTATATAAAAAAATAAGTAAAAAACATTTTTAAATCTGCATGAATGTGGTTGCACAGTAATGTGAACAAACCTGCTTGTCTTTGCTATCTATGACTACAAGATCCCCTCCATACATCTGGCAGAACTCTCTGGACTTTTCCCATGATTTGAGTCCAGCGCTGTCCGAGAAAGAGAAGTAGTAACACACTGAGTTCATCAGAATCCATCCTGCTGGGCAGTGTTTGCAGCCGTCATCTGTTGCAAAGGAAAAATAACCAATAATCAAAACAAACACGAAACAAAGCGTAAAAATAATACCTCATTTTAAAAAAACATAGAGTAATAGTGAAACATGTCTCACTAATCATTGGTAGTTGTGATCGCAGAGCTACGAGCTCCTTTCTAATTTTTTCAATCTGTGCTTCATAGTCTTGGCTTCTTTTTGTCTGGTGTTCAAATTCCCAGTTGGTTTGTTTCTGACGGCTCATCTCACTGTCCAGCTGCTTCTCGGCCCCCTTCATGGTTTGGACTGCGGCCTTGTAAGTATCCTGAAGTGCCATCGCCTCTTTGGTGATGCGTTCTGTATCATCAAGTGTGAGGTGAGTATCTGTGAGCTTGTTGTCTGCAAGTGTTGAAGAAAGAAAATATTACTGACGACAAACCATTCTCTGTTTTCTCTCCCCTGTTTTTTTTTTTTGTGTGTGAAAAATAATCTTCCCAGACATTTATATGTTTGGTACATGATACATGTTCAAATCAAACTATCATAGGACTGCCAGACTGGTCTAAACGACAAGCTTTTATATACGAATAAACAAAACCCCAAGCACAGAATAAAGACATTTTAAAAATAAATGTATAAAAAGTCAATAAAAAGTAGTGCATTATATCTCTAGATGCATTCACAGTAATACTATATGTGTAGGCTATATCTAAACAATCATTTGACTCCTTTATGTAGAAATATTTCACAACTCTTCAGACCATTTCATCAGGGGTAAAGCTGAAATAATAGCTGACTTACAATCTTTGTTTCCAGCTAAGACAATTTCAAGATTTTCTAATGGTCCCTGTTTTCTAACATTGTAAACCAAATTTCTTTGGTTAAAACTGTAACGATAAATCAATTAACTTATTAGTCCATAAACAGAAAATGACTGAGCAACAATGTTAATAATCAACTGATTGATTAAAGCAGTTTTCAAGCAAAAAAAAAAAAAGCCCATTGTCCACTTTTTAAATTTCCCAATTTGCTGCTTGCGGTTTATTTAATATCACCTTGTGCTGTAGGAAAAATTCAGAAGATTATGTGATAATGACAATAACCCTCTCTAGCCACTATACACAATAAAAGTGACTTACAGTGGACTCCCAGGCTGATATCGACTATCAGTAAAACAGCAGCGAGAAGTGCCAGGATCGCTACAGCCAGTCTGCACCTTCTCCCAGGATTCATACTGAACATGGACACTAGACCAAGAGATAATACATCAGCATTGCAAAGGTAAAAACTAAACACAGCTTTGCTAACAATGGAATTTATGGCACATTTTATAAATATATCCTAATATTGACGCCAAATCAATGAGTTGAGCTTTACATAAGCTTTATTTATGTTGGAAAACAATCTATCTTATACTAAATAAAAACAACATCAAGTGTTTGTCATCCCTCATGAACATATTTCAACATATTTTATCAGCACTACTGTAGAAGTTAAAGCATCAGCAGAAATAGAAGTCTTTTTATAGGAAGGCATCTAATAAACACATTATTTTACCTTGTTGGCTGCCTTGACCAAATTGTTGGTAAGGAGGATGCTCCTCCATGTCCTCTTGGGAAATCAGTGCATTAAATCCGCCATCAGAATTACAACCAGTCCTCTCCATTCTCTCTGTTTAATTGAGATAAGTCAGATGCCAGCGCATGTGAGCAGCAATCTGCCAAGACATTGACCCTAACCCTGTGTGGACACATGCTACCACTCCCAAACTCATCAGCGGTAAATTCATGATGATTTACTTTCAGAGAAATCTGCACCCATGAGAAAAGAGAAGTTGCATTCATAGATGAGCAGAAGTGAAATTATTCTTCAGAATCTCTGTGGCGCAACTCTTGTGTTCAGTGCAGGATGTGAATATGCTGACCCTTGTGAAGTAATTCAAGGGAGGTTTTGGTCATACCTGAAGCCGCCCTCTTTTCTGGAACAAAAACATTGTACTTTATCATCAGTCATCTGAGAATTTACTGCATTGGATGGCATTTAATAACAGCCATACGTGTTTATAAATCTATATCTATCTCTACTGAGTGTGAACGACTATGTTTGATTTGTACATGGGTGCATTTTATGAAATGTCTTCTATACTGTCAATATGTGTTGCCCTGCAATGCAGTTTACTGTTTGACCCTTCTGATGTGGATATATATTTAATTTAACTGGAAAAATGATCATACCTTGCAGAACAATAACCAGCAGTGTGAAAATATGATTTCTGTAACTCCTACTACATAAGTATGGACCCTTTAATCTATTGTAATATTTGTAACTATAAACAATGATGCATAAAGGTGATAACACCAGCGATCCAATTAACTATTGTCCAATCACCTGTCATTTTTTAGCCAAAACTCTTCGAAAGCTTATCAATATTCAATTTTCTTAAAGTTGCAAAAGGAGTGCCACAGGGCTCAACACTAGGTCCTCTTCTGTATACATCCATCCTCACTAGGGTCATGGGGGGCTGGAGTCTATCCCAGCTGACTCAGGGTGAAGACAGGTTCACCTGGACAGGTCTATCACAGGGCTACACTTAGAGACAGACAACCAAGCACACTCACATTCACACCTACGGACAATTTAGAATCACCAATTAACCTCAACATGTTTTTGGACTGTGTGAGGAAGAGAGAGAGAACCCACGCTGCACAGGGAGAACATGGAGACTCCACGCAGAAAGATTCCGGTGCCCCCACCGGGACGCGAACCTTCTTGCTGCGAGGCAACAGTGCTACCAACTGCGCCACCGTGCAGCCCTCTTCTGTATACATTTCACCTAAATTGCATAAGATCTTCAGTTAGTTACAGCTCTATTTATTATTTTGTTGATGACGCTCTGTTGTCAAAGCTTTGTCTAATTTAACGTCTGATTTTTTTAATTTAAAAGTAAGTAATTAAGTAATTTAAAAGGCTTTGATTGACCTTAAGCGTTTACTAAAGCCAAATAAGACAAATTACATCCACTTTACCAGATTCCAAAAGGAAAAATCCTTTAAATTAAACAAGTCCTTCGTTATAGGTACCTGAGTATCTGGTTAGATTAAATATTGTCTTTAAAGCTCGTGCTGAGAAACTGACTAAGAGCCTTAAAGTGACGTTTTGTTTCTCTTATTCAGTGCTTGACTTTGCATGGTGCAGAAATTTGGTTTACCACATTTGAGAGTACATGAACCTTTGATGTGCCATTTCTAAAAGCAGAACTGGGATTCGCCGAATTTATATACTCATCAGAGGTGAGGTACTTTCTGTTCGACAAATTTAAATAGTTTCAGGTTCTGCTGAATGATGTCTTGCATAATAAGTGAGCTTGTTTTGTTGATGCTTCTGCTCGGTCCTTGTGTAATGTCCTTGGTGAATGTTGAATCAGCTTTTATTTATTGTGTAACATTTTTTGAGTGGGAGCTTTGCCTTTAATTGAATTTTCCCTAGTTTAAAAAAAAAGCACTGTATCTGTCTATATCAATAATAATGTATTGAGCTGCACTATGTGAATAAGAATAATACGAATAATTCAAGTTGAAAAAAGCCCAGAAGCAAAACACACATGTTAACAGTATTTTATTCTCAACAGCTCCAAACTTCTTGACCAGCAGAGCAAGAGCACATCTCAAGTCTATCTTGATGGTGTTTCACATATCCAGTGTAGCTTAAACACAGTGCATCTTCCATCGTATCGGGTCTCCCAGGGATTTATGGAGCTGTAAACTGCAACCCCACAGTCCTCTCCCTGGTGTTGGTCGTTTGGTTCCCCGGGCATCCAGTATCTGACAATAATCACAATCAGTGTTGACACAGCATCACTTATCTTCACCAAATTAATGTTGCAAAGTGAAAAATATATATACATATAATATGCGATATTGAGAGCATAATTCTGCAGCCCTCACCTTTGCTCTACCTCCGTGACATTATTAATCCACACCCATTTCCCCTCTACATCCATGTCAGTGAGACCAATCCAGAAGCCGCTTTGCCAAACGTTACTGGCACTTCTCATGTTGGTGATGGTGCTGCTTACAAATTTCTGTGTAGAGACACAAAGTTGACAGTTTTAAGGTAGCAAATTGTACCACTGCAACACACAGACATATTCTCTTTCCCCCTCTTTCTCGTTTGTTTTAGCGCACCTGCTCCTCCTGGTTATCAATCACAATCAGGTCAGAGCCACGGCTAATGCAGTCCGCTCTGCTGTCTGGCCAGTTCTTTTTAACAGTGGAGGACAGAGAGTAGGAAAAGAAATAGCAAGAGGAGTTGAGAAGAACCCATCCAGGGAGGCATCTGCCACAGGTTCCCTCTAAGAAAAACAAAAATTTAGTTGCCCACTGTGCTTTGTAAGTAAACAGAATAAATAAAAACTATAAAGTCAGAATACATTATTTGTGTCTCACCCATAGACGATATATTGACCTGCAGGTTTGTCTTCTCTGCTCGCAGCTCTTCAATCTGTCTCTGATGGCCGTCATTAGTTGCCTTCAGCTGCTCGATTTTCACCTTTAGTTGTGCGTGGCCTTTGATCGCTCTGTCCAACGTCCTCTTGGCCTCCTCTTCAGCTTCAATCATGTCGCTGTGGTTGCTACGGAGATAGGCGAGCTCACTGATGAGCTGTGTTGCGGCCGGGTGGGTGATGTGAAGGGAGCTCTCTTTGACTTTGGCACCTGAACGTATTGTTGGGAAGAGTGCGCTTGTGTCAAAACAGAACTGAAAGTGTTTTCTGTAAAAACTGTAGCAAAAGTCATGCTTCATTACCCCAGACCATACGATGCATTTTATACCTTATTACAAAACAGTAAATTGTGTTTTTACGCTGTTAACTGCAGTATAGCTGCACAACTGCAAACATTCACACTTATGACAATGACATGATTTATTTTTTTAAGTCAGTTTCTGTTGTGCAACTGACAGTGAGTACATTGCACAGAAGAGGGAAATGAAACTTTTTTTTTTCAATCTCGTACTTACAGTTAAATCCAATGACAACAGCAGCGATCAGTAACACAGCATTCAGCAGCCCCAGGCCCAGTATGACCAGTCGATGGTTTGGAAACATGTCACCACCTGTGATTGCTGAGGTTAACGATGTTAGCAAAAAAAAACAACATTGAAAAACATTAAACTGAAAATATTTTCCCATGTAGTTGAGCTCTGCTGTATTGAAATAGAATAACAGTGAGATGGATACTGCTAGTAGTTGAATTTAGTGCTCAAAACGCTGAAAAACTACATCAGGAAAACAGAGCTTAACTTTTCAAAAACACAGTTTTGTTCACTTTTGAGTAGAGAGTTTTTTTTTATCTTGCTATTTTATAAAGTATGGTTATATATATGAAGAGTTCATTTGCAAAAACAGATAACTCCATCTTCACAAACCTTCAGAAACTGTTCCATCGTCTACCTGAGACAACATCAATCAAACTTAAGTTATCTCTATTTTTGTTATTTCTACTGACTCGAATCCACTCAGCTTCAGTTCTCAAGCAAACAACAACAAAAAAAAATTTCTGAAAATCTGCAAAAATTGAGTTATCTGTTGTTGCAAATGAACTCTTCATATATATATATAGAGTCATCAAGAAAATCTGCATAGAACACAGGAAACTTGTTCTATGGCACTTAACCAGGTTGTTTTCTCCTGATTAGATCCTTGCTTGTGTCGTATCGACTCTCAGATATTGGACAACAGCGTCTGCTCAATGAACTTGCAGAACTGTAGGAAATCTGACTAATCTGACCTGTAAGTCACACAAGTACCATTTTGCACACAGTGGCTTCTATGCTGTAACAAGCTGCATAAATGCAGATTTAATGCTGCAATTAGCAAGGCTTTGTTGTACATTTAGCAAATATTTTATATGAATTCCAACTAATTCTAATCATCCGCTAACATTGTAAGAGTGGCAGCAATGGATTCGGTAAAACCAACCTTGACAGAAAGAGATAAAACCGGATGAAAAATGTAAAGAATGAATCAGTCAGTGCAAAAGAAACTCCTACCTTGTCCAAATTTTTGATAAAGAGATGCGTCTTTGCTGCCATTTGCTCCTCTCTGTGGACTCTCCATGTCTGCACTGTTGCTGCGACTGCCCACTGATCTGTTCGCCTCCTCTTTTATACCAGCAGACTTTCGGTGCTATATGGGTGCTCTGGGTGCATCACCAGGCTGGACTTTAACTTTATTTATCTAGTCCAGGGGAGAACTTCAGCTAAACTTGAGAATGTGACATTAAAACATGTGGACATTGAATGAAACACGGATTTTCAACCTTGTTATTGAACAAAAACTCTCAGTTATTGTTGTGCACAGTATTCAGTCTGAGAACAGCTGGATTTATGTCTTACTAGACGTCTGCAGCTGCTTTTATTTCATTTCTGTGAAACTTTGTCTGTTGTTGTGTCTTGGTTGACGTTAATTACTCTCATGAAGCTGGAACCTTCACGCTGAGGAAGGAAGGTGGCAAACACTTTTTTTTTTTTTTTTGTGGCAGCTTCATCGTTGCCATTGCTTCTTGATGTCCTTACAGCTTTTATTTAGTCCTTCAAAGGCCTGTTGGTGGTTGCCCTTTCCCATCTTCAAAACCCGCGGAGGTTTTTGAAGACGGCCTTTTCTGAGCTGTGACATTTTTCAGTGTTACAATAAGCTGAGCAACGTCTCTTATAAATGTTCTGACATCCACATTTAGCACCGATCAGTACCTTCAGCATTCCATTTTGTTTTTAATTTGACATGTTTTGTTGTTGTTTATTATTATAGGTACTAAGGTTAGTACCTACGCTGGGTTAAATTCTGCTAAAGTACAACTGAACCAGTGCTGTTTATACATTTCAGGTGTTTATTCGTGAAGAAAACAAATGTATAATGAAGTTTGGTATGAAAGATAACTGGGTGTACATCTTCTTCCCTCCTGTGTCGATTACAGCTTTAATCTGCCACACATTGCACAACTAGACGAGTTCCTTTTCACACAACCATCCCTTGATGCTCTGGCAGCTCCCATCGTACCACGTGCTCCTTCCCTGGCTGCCTGTGTTCCAAAGTGCCACACAGTCTTTATTCAGTAGTCCGTGATCGCTGGGCTCCCCGTGCATCCAGTACCTAAAGACAGGTTCAAGTTATACGTTGACTGCAGGTGCAATTTATGTTGCTGTTGTTGGTCGTTATCTGACAGTCAACTGGTTGCAAATACACTTCAACGACAGCAGACGACTGGAAATGCAGATTTTTCCACTCTTTACACTTTTACACAGTAAATATGCAGGAAGGCTAATTCAGAGAACAATTTACACGGTCATTCAAGGAATAATTTGAAGTTTTGCTAAAACTTTAGTTTTTTGCAGAGAATCAACGAGAAGATTCGTACCACCGATGTGCAAACAACAAGCCGGCCAGGGGGAGCTTCCTAATTATGGACTCAATATAAAAGATGGATGTAGCGACCATGCTGTCATCCTTCAGTTTGTGCACTACCATCGTGAAGTGTTGAGTAAAACTAGATGTGATGTGTAAAGTGTGGCTCTAACAGCAGAACTCAAACACACCACACATGGTGATTTGTGAGGAACCTGTCAATAACAATTTAGCCCGCCCTAAAAAACATCCTACTTTAACTCCTAATTTCCTTGAAAGGGGACCATCATTTACAAAATGAACCTGAAAAAAAATCTTGAGAGAAACGACTGAGACCATAAACTGACACGATTAAAATGCTTACTGAGGGAACAAGTCGAGTGAGACGTGGGGTCATTTTTTTTATATACTACTGTACAATCAGACTCTTTTTTTCCTTTCTTTCTGTGCAACCAAAGGAGTCGCCCCCTGCTGGCTGTTTAAAGAAGCTACATCCACCTTTTAAATGCAGTCTATGGTCTTCTTAAGACATGAACTTCCCTGGAAACTTTGTGAAACTTTGGGGATCTCTAAAAGATTGCTAATTTTGCCAAGTATTTCTTTTTTTTTCTTTTCCCTATCAGGAATCATGTGCAAAATCAGACTGGTATTGACCTGTGGTTCCTGCATGAAGGTGATCCATCACTCAAATACATGCATAAAACATAAATCTATCTTTAATTTAAAGATACCAACATGCTGTAGCCTAAAATGTCACTAAAATTGAAAATGCAATTTCACACAAATTTTTGCACAAAGTTACTTTTGTAATGTTGAATACAATCTTTTTTTTTTTTATGTCCCATTTGAAAGCCTGTTTTTTTTTTTCCTGTTTGTTGATTGACTGAAGTGTGTTGGTGTAACATCATAAACTTTACTCACTTCAACTCAAAAATGAGAAGACAAACAAACTGTCTTCACGTGGACCACCATAAAAAAAATTTTTAAAAATTCCAATTATTCATATTCTTATTAATAAAAAAAAATATGAATAACAGCTACATTGAGTGTCTTATAAAGTAAAAGGGAAAAAAAGTGAGCTCCCCTGAACGCTTTGATGTAGTTTGCACACTCTTTATCATTAAACAATTATAAATCTAGAGCCAGGAGGCAGTTAACTTAGCTCCGCTTAGAAGAAGCTGGGCATATTGTAGTGCCAGGCTTGCTGATTCTCCTGCTTCTTTAATCACAGCAACACACCAGAACAGGTTTTAAAGCCGTTAAAGTTCTTACCCGTCACTATACAGGGTTGCGTTATTTACCCACACCCAAGTGCCCTCCCTTTGAATATCTGTGAGGCCAATCCAAATTCCTCCATTCCCCCACGGTCGACTGCTTCCAGCCTTTGGTAGGTATTCAAAAAGATTCAGCTGGAAAAAGAGAAGGTCAGAATTAAAGTTGTCTGCAGAGCGTTTCGCTAAACTTATTGCATACGGTAACTGGACTGGCAGATTCATGTTTCCCTTTAAATCGATGGGAAGCAAAGTATTAAAAGGAATCATGGACATTATAGCAAGAGAACACTGTGTTAATTATTTCGTTTATATTCCACTTTTACCCATATTCTTAAGTTCATTTTGTGCATTCAATTAGTTATTCCTTGTTTTAAACTTCTAATTGATTTCTAAATTCTGTCATTTACTTTTAAATTCATTCATGCATTTTAAAATTATATACTTAACACTTGTGTATCTTGTTTTGTAAAAGCTTTTTCCTTTGGAACACTTAATGATAATGAATATTTCATTTGTAGAGTTTTTTTTATAATTCGTCTTGTTGTTGTCCTTTAAATTACAAAATCATTCATTTGTTTTATTCAGGATTTTAAGAAGTTTGAAAAAATATGTCTGTTTTTATCGTGCAAATAGTTATTAATTAAATAAATGCTTTGTTACTGTTTTGTGGTGCTTCCGTACTTCACTGTTTTAAAGCATCTACTGCTGCTGCACCTATTGGCCGGTTCACAGTTACCTCTGCAACAGGATCCGTTGTGTAACAGGCCTTCACCACAGCAGACATCGTGACTTGTGATCTTACAAAAAGCAAGTTACATTAACAAGGTCTCTTCTATTCAGGTGTCACAGGAAGCCTTGAGACGTGACAGCAGAGAGCCTCAGGACTGCCGAGACCGTCGAT